ATTTTTAATTTACACATCCAAGAAGGTCAATAAATTCCAATAGGATAAATGCAGATATCCATACACAAATATATAGTAAATAGTAAATAGTAAAATTGCTGAAAGACAAAATAAAAATCATTAAGGCATCAAATGAAAAACTTCTTATGCATAAAGTGACTTCAATAAGAGCTAACTTCTCACCAAATACAGTTAAGACCAGAAGGCTGTGGGATGATATATTCCAAGTGTGGAAAGAAAAAACATGGTCAGTCAACAATTCTATCTCTAGCAAGAGTACCTTTGAAAAATGGAGACAAAAGACATTCACAGATAAACTACAACAAAATTTGTTGCTAGCAGAAACAACTTACAAGAAATACTACAGGAAGCTCTTCTGATTGAAAGCAAGAGACCCCAGATAGTAATTAGAATCCACACACATAAAACAAAAACCAACAAACAAAAAGTGGTAAAGGCAATTCTGTAATTATTAAAGACAGTATAAATTTACATTTCTTCTCCTGCCTTCTCTTAACTAATTTAAAATGCACTGGTATGAAACAATAAATATAAAATTGCATTGTTAAGTGAATAATGTATAGAGATGTAAAATATTTGCCAATAACAGAACAAAAGAGGTAGATAGGAGCCTAGCTGTTTTGGAGTAAGGAAATTACACCAAATGGCAACTTGAATCTGAGAAACAAATGAAGAGAACCAGAAAGCCTCCTTAACAATTTTATAAAGTAATAATTGCAACAATGTTTTCTTGAGCTTGTAACTATATATAATATGTATAATAATAGCATATAGTGGGGGAGGGCATAGAGCTATATAGGAGCAGTATTTCTATATCTAATTGGTATCATTAGTGTACATTTGACGTTAATTCTAAGTGAAGATATATATGGTAAGCCCTAGAGCCATCCACTAAAAAAATACTTAAAAATTTGAAAAAAAATCCATAAAGATTTATTTTATAATGTTACACTAGAAAATATTCACTTAATGCATAAGTAATAAAACTATAATTAACATGTTAAATGATGCAGTGGAAAAGGTGGATGACACAGATAAACGAGACAGGAATGTCATCACAGAAATAAAAACTGTAAGAGAAAATCAAATGAAAATATCATAAATAAAGAAACACTGTATAAGAGATGAAGAATTCCTTTCATGGGCTCGACACAGCTGAAGACAGAATCAGTAAACTTGAAAATTGGCCACAGTTTATGCACAGTTCATGTTTACTAATTTTGCTACAGTCTAATTATTTGGGCCATAATAGTTTATATTCCCCTCAGAAATAGATAAAAGCTCCTCTTCTCCAGCATTTGCATCAACACTTAGTGTTCCCATAGTTTTACTTTTTTCCAATCTGATGGATGTGGCATAGTTGATGGCTGAATAAACTTTGGCAAGTTATTCGATCTCTTTGAGTCTGTATTTTCTTATCTATTAAATGGACATAATACTACTTATCTTACAAGTTATCACCAGGATTGAATAAATATACAGAGAAATTATAAGGTAATTAGTATGCAGTCAATAATTGTTCCCTTCTATATATGCTCCTAAAGCATTTAGCAAAGTTCCTTACATGCAGTAGGTAGGTGTTCCAATACATAAAAATCAATCAAATAATATAAAAGTTATATTCAATGTCTTTACTGAAAAAATTTGCTCATGTTCATGGAAGAAAATAACTGAGAGGTTAAGATCAAACTTTAGAGTCAAACAAACCTGAGTCAAATTGTATTTCTGTTCAGTTTTGAGAATTATTATCAATATTAATGAAACATTGGAATACTTCAATTAGGCATAATAAAAATAAATATATGTGGTGGTATCCAAAAGGCTTTGGAGTTTTAATTACATACCACTCCCTTCTTATTCCTTATCTCTTAATAAGAAACATTAGTATAAAACAGAAGATTTAACATTTTAATTTGCATCATATACACCAATATCTATGCATCATTCAGTACGGATATAGAGGAACACCTGTAGGAAATAAGACAGAGAAAGTGAACGTCTTGTCAGAGATAGGTAACAGATACTATCTGAGTAAGCATTTTACTTTTATAAAGAAACTTTTCCTGAAGAGAGACTATTAAAAACTTTTCTGGCTGGGAGTAGTATTGTCTCTAGTTTTGTTTTTGTTTTTACTGTGAGCATATGACTAAGAACACAAAGCGTATGTTAACAGAGGCCAATGCTTAAACTAAGTAAAAATTACAGCACATTGGATCTGACATATCTGAAAGTATACACGAGACTTATTTTGCGGTGTGGTAATTTCATGTGAATAAGAAGCTCAAATAAGGGTCTATAATTAGTATTATTTTTAGATATCCGTATGGATTATGTCTGTGGTCAACTGTGAGGAGCAGAGAGAAAAAAACAGATCAAGAAGCTACTGAGGGTTCACGGTGTTTGTGCAGTAGAGGGTACATGCGTGTAAGAACCCCATTTTACTTTGTGTAGGAGACACCCACAGCTTGGGAAACTGGAGCCCCCAGTAGACAGACGTACGTGTCTCCCAGCTCCCAGGGTGAAGATGAAGTGGGCGTTCTGGTTGAGGATCAGCTTGGTTTGCAGGGCGGGGGCAGAATGATAGGGTTATGAACCGAATGCCTGTGTCCCCTCAAAATTCATACTGAAGTCCTACACACCAGTGCAGCTGTGTTTGGAGATGGGTCCTCTAAGGAAGTAATTTAAGGTTAACTGAGGTCACAAGGGTGGGGCCCTGATTGGATAAGATTAGTGTCCTTATAAGAAGAGACACGAGCACTGGCTCTCTCTCTCTCCCAGCATGCGCACGCCAAGGACAGGCCACGTGAGAACAGAGAGAGAAGGTGGCCATCTAGAAGCCACAAAGAGAGCCCATGAGAAACTGAATTGGCCAGCAACTTGATCTTGAACTTCCCAGACTTCAGAACTGTGGGAAATAAACTTCCGTAGTTCAACCCATTTAGTCAACGGTGTTTTGTCACGGCAGCCCCAGCAAGCTAACACGGATAGTAACCTTCCTTCACTCGGAAGCAAAGACCAAACAGAAAAACCTGGGCTTTGTCACGAGAGATGCCTGACGACCCAACACCAGTCCCTTGACTAAGAATTCTCCTCTCATGTCCTAGACTCAGTGCAGAGGAATTTCCTACTCTCTCTCCTTAGCAGAGTCACCTGAGAAAAGACAGGAAGTGACGGGGGCATTGAGAGAGGTGCCCGGAACGCTGCTCCGGCGGAGCTGCAGGGTGGGGGATGGAGACGGTGGCGGTGGAGGAGACGGGGGCCGGGGATGCATCTAGCGGTGGAGGCCAGCGCCTGGTGAAATGTGGCGGAGCGGGTGGTGGGCGTGGGGGGCGGAGAAAGAGAAACATGAGAACCGGAGAACAAAGCGGGAAAGGAAAATGACACAGGAAAGTTGGTGGATGAAAGAAGCAAGGGCAAGAAAGGCAGAGAGCAAGAGGCCTGAGTGAGCCCGGGAAACTGCGCGTGAGGGCAGTGAGCTCTCTCCTCTGTCCTACTTTGCCGTCACCAGCCCGGGAACGACTTAGACCCCACAAAGCCGTGGTGAAAATTAGAAAAAGGTCTCTTCTCTGGGTTCGTGAATTAGGAAAATGGTCTTCCTCTAGTGAGAATAGACCTCACCGAATGAGAAAAAGGGGCTCCTTTCTGCCAGCCTTCACTGGCCAACGTGGTCCCACCAAGCCTTGTTGGTTGGCTAGCAGAGAGTGGGCTGGACGTAAGGCCTGCTAGCCACTCATCTGGTGCCTGCAGGCAGTGCGAACCGCCCGGTCACACGGGGTGTCCTCACCTCCCCCCATCGGCTGGGAAGCCACCCTCACACAGCGCTCTTTGGAACCCTAAGTAACGCCGTGAGGCCACTGCTGGGCAGCTCACTTGCCCGCCCACGCCGGAGCTGGCAGGATGTGCAGACTGCTGCCATTGAAGCAAACTCCTGTCTTCAAAGCCCATCTGCCAACATTATTTGAAATGCCCACAACTGCACTGCCAAACGGCCACAGCCTGGACCTGCTGGGGAACTGGGAGTGAGGAGGACAGCCAGCCTCTCGTTTTTTAAATTCTCCCCAAACAGTAGATCTAAGAAAAAGTACTGAGGCCCTTGGACTTGGGAGACAAAGAATCAGAAAGCATATAAAACCTGAAGTCTGGATGTGGGAGTACTCTGAGCAGAAACGGTTGCTTTAATCAGCTGTAAAGCACAGAATCTCTCTCTGGAATTAGTCATTTTCTCTATTCCCATACATGCCACAAAAGGGAGATGTTTAAGAAATAGCCTGAAGTTTAGCAAAATTAACTTTTCCCCCATTCCTATCCCCAAATATTTTCATCTTCTTTATATCACCAAGATTTGCAGAACGGGAACCATCCCAATCTCCCCATCACTATTCTAGATTGGTTCTGTGGCACAGTGTATTCAACGCTATATTAATTTGCGATAGCAACGGGGCCGGGAGAATACAGTCAACAACCAGAGAAAAAGAGAACCTTAGGATATTTAAAATACGTATGGCTTTCTTGTCAAGAAGTTGCACAAAAATGTAGGAAAGGACCTAGCGACAGCGGACGAAACAAAGCAGGCGTCTTCCTTTGTACTCTGATTATGTCATTGATCTCACCGCGGCCTCCACCCCACGTCCGACCTCCCCCAGGAAATACATTTTCAGAAATGGATTATAAGCAAATTAATTGGGCTAACAGAACTTTATCAAAAAAAAAAAATCATGCATTTCCTTTCTCTAGTTCCTTCAACACCACGAGGATGTGCTTCCTTGAGTTCATCCGTGGCAGCAAGCAGAAACTCAGGCTATGAGACTCTAGCGGGCAGAGAATGGGTTTCGTTTTCACCTGCCTCGTCTTCTCCCATGGCATGATCGGGAGGGGTACCCGCTGTTTGATTTTTGTGACGATGTTAAAGGTGATGGAGTAGGCAGGACGTCCTAGGTTACAGCAGGGACCATACCCCCTGAGGGTGGCGAAGAGAAGAGTTAATCGTTGAGGAGCTGACAGCAGCGTTTCACACTGTCTCGAAGGGCCTCTTTGACTCTCTCGTTCCGGAGAGTGAAGATGAAAGGGTTCAGGAAAGGGGTTAACACGGAAATCAGCAGGGAAACTATCTTATTGTACTCGGCGGCCTGCGTTTGCTTGGGTTTCACGTACAGAAACAAGCAGCTGCCGTAGCCAATGACGACAAAGCTGAAGTGGGAGGCGCAGGTGGAGAAGGCTTTCCTCCGGCCCGAGGCGGAGGGGATCTTGAGGATGGTGGAGATGATGTAGGTGTAGGAGACGACTGTTGGTGTCAGGGACCCAATGATAATGAAAATGGCCATTAAAAAGAGAACAAACTCTGTGAAAAGAGTGTCATCACAGGATAGTTTGAGCAGTTGCCCTCGGTCACAGTAAAAATGGTCTAGCAGATTTGATTCGCAGAAGGTAAGCTGAAATGTGGCATAGACTGGCCAGATTTCAGAAAGGAACCCAAACGCCCACGATGTGATTACCACCCAGATGCAGGTGCGGCTGTTCATGATGACGTCGTACCTCAGAGGGTTGCAGACGGCCACGTAACGGTCCACGGCCATGGCCCCCAGTAAGGCAAACTCTGTGGTCCCCACGGCAAGGTACAGGAAGAGCTGGGCGACACATGCAGCCAGAGATATTGACTGCATCCCGGGGAGCAGCAACCCCCAAAGCATGACGGGGGCGATGATGGATGTGGTCAGGATCTCCAAGGTGGAGAGATGACCAAGGAAGAAGTACATGGGGGACTGCAGACGTTTGTCAACGCAGACCACCACGATGATGACCGTGTTCCCCATTAAGGTCACCGAGTAGAAGAAGAAGAATATAGCAAAAAGGATATGATGTAGTTCTTGAGACCCAGGAAAGCCTAAAAGGCAGAATTCGGTGGCACTAGAGTGATTGCTCATCATTTAGTCCTTGTTTCTGCTCCTTGTGAAACATAGATATCAAAAGAGAGGTAACACTGCTCCACGTGGTCCTGCTCTCAAGACAGAAGGAAGACAGGAGGATGAGGAACTATTTTCTACCTGATGATCAGGCGACATGCCCCTAGTACTGTGCTCTGCACAAAGCCAGACCTCGAATCTAGCTCAAAGCCAGCTGTCTGAAATGGGTGAAGACACCTTCTTCTCTATTGGTGTTAAGAAAATTGTCCTTGTCTTTTTACCCCACTGGATGTGCCTTCTCACAGGAGACAGAGGCTAAGACATTTTAAACGGCTTAGTTTTGAAGCTGAGTTGATTAGCCCCTCAGAGCGCTGGGATTGTCCTACTTTCTCTTAGGTTAAGTGTATCTATCAGATGATATGATGGCATTCCAGATGATGTTCAAAGCACGGAACTTGGAACCCCAGCACTCATCTATACTGGTTCTACATGGACCCACTTTGGAAACAGCACGAAAGAGGCAAAGGGCCTAAGACCAACATCTCTGCTTTTCTCCAGGTCCTAAAACCTCCATATTACAGAGCATCAAGGTTTCCAAGTGGGAACTCTGGAGCCTGGGAGAATTTCCCAGAGCCGATTCATTCTTCTCTAATTCCATTTTCTTTCCAAAGTCTTGGGAGGAATGAAAGATGGCACTGTCACTGACAAACACAGATCAAAAGCCACGAGCTTCTTAGGATGCCTGGATCTGTACCCCTCACTTCATCCATCCCATTACTCAAACGTCATCTCCTCACAGGATTCTTCCAATTCCTCTACCCAAAATAGGGAGGACATGATCAATCCGGGACTCGGTTTTCCTCACAGCACTTGTTATTACCTGATATGATGTTCTATGTTTAACTGTTTATTTCACTCCTTCGTTTACCATGAAACCAATGCAGCAGTGCACAGAACAATCAAAAATCTTTGCCCTGTGGAGCTTATGTTCATGTGGGGCGTGGCGGTTACACGATAACAAAGTAAATAAAATATACGTGTTTTGTAAGATGTTAGCTTATTAATCATGTCGTTAAAAAAAACTAAGCAATGAAGAGGGACAGAAAATTTACTTTTATTTATTTATTGTTCCTATGACATTAGAATATAGCTCCATGAGGTCAAGGACATGTCATTATATATATTATATATTCATATATAATATGTATACATGCCAAGTATTTCACATTCTTGAGCCAAATTAGTGACCAGACTTTTCTGTAGATGACAGGCATATGGTTACATGATCTGTGACTAAACAGCATGTGGTCCTGGCCAGGGCTGATTAGGCCATATCCCCTCAGTCTCTCTCTTCTTGGTCCCTTCCTGCCTCACGCCACCATGCTCCCTTCCTCCCCTCCCTCTGATGAAACCTCCCCAATATCTCTGTGGCCCTTTTACTGATGGGCAAACAGCCTTCCAGGACAGAACTCCTGGGACAGCTCCATGGTCTGCTTTTCCACAATCTCTGCAACCAGCACAAGATGAAAAATGCAAAAGGAGGAATCTGACTGACATCGGGGGGCTGCGTCTGTCCATAGCATCGGGTCGGAGAGGAACTGAACCTGCTCTCTGCTCTGCTGGGGGGACTGGGAGGTGACCCTGTCTGCTCTGCTGCTCCGCCAGCCCACCTTCAGGCTCCAGGTGTGCTCGCTGTTCTAGACAGCGGCCAGACCCCGATGCTCTCCTACCCTGTGCTTCACGGAGGAGAAACCTCAGAAGACACTCACCTCTACGGAAGGGCTTCGCCACCACTCACAGGGCTCTGCGGGGCTTGGCCAAGGCCAGCTCCTGTCTGGCTACTGCTGAGCCTCGCACAGAGGCCAGGGCAACTTGCTGCTGTCTCCGCTCATGATGAAAAAGACTGTCCTCAGGGAAGAGCTTAGGAAAAAGCCCCCAAATAGTAGTGTTGTGGGGAGCCGAGGGTCCCTCTCTCCTTCCCTCCCACTTCCCTCCCTCCCAAGGGGACTCAGTCCCTGAGATACCTGTTTTTAATTAGCCCAGGGTAATGTTGTCCCTAAACAATAAGTCTGGGGAGAGCAGAACAAACTTTTAGTTAGTCCTATTTCTGACCAATTAAATTTCAGAACTTCTTAAAGTTTTTGTTCAATGGGAAAACATGAAATCTCACCAATCAGAGGCTTCTCGATACTTCTCCAAAGGCCTCAACTCTAGTTTCCAGAAGATGTCTCAAACTCTACGCAGATCCCCGCTCTGCCCTTCATCCCAGGCTGTCCTTGGATTCTCTTAGCTATTCAGAGCCAAAACCAGCCCCTCCTCCCAATAAAAGACATCACAGTTGACCTCTACAACACACCGATACCCAAAAAGGCCTGCACAGTGGTCTCAGGCAAAGCCTTGACTTCATAAAAAAATCCCCCGAGAGCCTGATTTCTCCTCCACTCATTTACCAGAGGCTCCTGCTCCTAGCCCTGTGGACGCTCCACAACAAGGGGGCGAGGTCCGAGCCCCACATCCAACTTCTCTCTCTAGAACCGTCTCGGGTGTCCACTCTCTGAACATACGTGCATCTCCATGCGTTCAAGCAAGATGCATCCGGCCATTTATTCCTACAGCATGTCCCTGAGTACCAGCCCGGCATATCAGTTATATCTACAGCCTGCAACGACCGACAAGATGTAAATCGGAAATCTGCCTGGTACTGGAGGGGGACAGAAAAAGTGAGAGTTACAAAACGTGTATCTGGATCTTGGATTTCATTTCATACACCTGTCAAATCTGAGAATGTCAGTTGGTATAGAAGGGTATAAATTAGGAATAATCTTCCTTCTAGTTCCTCAAATTACCTAAGCCCAACCCGATCGCCATATAATCTTGGGAGAATTTCCGAAGTATGTATCTGCATGTTCTTTTCAATAAAAAAATGGTTTCTATACTTTTCTCTCACTTAATAGTATATAAAAGATACTCTCTTATCAACACATAGTGCCCTACTTCTTTTTTTGCACAGTAGTCCATTTATGGATGTCCCATTCTTTATCAGCTAGCCCTCTATTGATCGGTTTTTGTCATTTCCATTTTTATTATGAAAAATGATGCTATAAATATTCTTAGACATTTATAAGTCCATACATATCTTTATTTCTGGAATAAATCTGTAGAGTGGGAATTTCTAGGTCGAAAGGTAGATATATTGTAGCTGTCACTTTTTATTGGCACTACTTGATACTCTAAAGATTCTGGACTGATTCGCATAACCACAAAGACTGTAATGGGAGCTCTCTTGATTTCCTGATCCACTACCAACCAAAGATACAATCAAATTTTTATTTTAATTTTAAAGTGAAGAGAACAAACATAAAATATCTTCAAAATCAATTGAAAAACCCAATAAAATGAAAAAAAATCTTCTGAAAAATAAAAACTACCAAAACTGATTCAAAAATTGAACTGAAATCCGAAATATGTTAAATAAATTGATTCATAATTACAAACCTTCCCACACAGAAAATCACAGGTTCAGATGGGTTTACCAGTATATCCTACCAAGTATTTAAGGAAGAAATAATATAAATCCTACACAAAATCTTCTAGAAGATTGAAGAGAAGGAGACACTGTCCAATTCACTTTATAAGGTCAGAATTATCTTGATACCAATGACATCAAAAGAAAATAAACTGACAAGCCAATATTCCCTATGAACGGAGATGCAAAAATCCTTAATAAATAGAAATCAAATCCAGCAATATGTAAAGAGAATAATATGCCATAACAAGTAATAATTTTATTCCAGATATGCAAAGTTGGTTCGACATGAGGAGATTGATCCATACAATTCATCACGTTAGCAGAATTCAAGATAAAAAGACACATGATCACGTCAATAGGGAAAAAAAGGCATCTGACAAAAATCAATATCCATTGATTAAAAACTCTGACCAAACCGAGAACTAAAGTGATCTTCCTCAAACTGATAAATAGCATCTATCAAAAATCCTAACATAAAATCTAATGATGAAAGACTCGATCTTTCCCTCTAAGATAAGGAACAAGGTAAGGATAATGTTCTCACCATTTCTATTCAACACGGTGTTAGCTGATGCAATAAAGCAAGAAAATTAAAAGCATACAGTCAGGAAATAAAGAAATAAAATTATTTCTTTGCAGATACATAATCGTATGTACAGAAAATACAAGAAGTCCACACAAAAAGTTGCTAGAACTAATGAGTGATTATAGAGGTCACAAGATAAAAGTTCAATATACAAAAATCTATTGTATTACTATACGCTAATAATGAACATTGGAAATAGAAATAAAATATATAATTCACAATAGCATTCAAAAACATGAAAAACTAAGGGATATATTTAACAAACTATGTGCAAGTCCTATACACTTGAAACTATAAAACATTCCTGAGAGAATCTAAAGGCTTATGTAGATAAAGAAATAGTCTATTTTCATGAATCAGAGGCTCAATTTTGTTAGAATGTCAATTCTCTCCAAATTCATCTATAGATTGAATACGACTTCAACAAAAATCCCAGGGAATTTTTGTTAACACTGAAAAGCTGACTCTAAGATTTCTGTGCAAATGTGAAGGACCTAGAATAGCAGAAATAATTTTAAAACAGAAGACAAAGCTGGGGAACTCACAACACCTTATTTAAAGATTCTACAGATACAGCAGTCAAGACAGTATGTTATTGATATGTCATGAAGATCGACAGACCTACAGACCAATAAAATAGAATAGAAAATTCAAAAGCAGACCCAAACATGGATCTCTGATTGACGTTAACACACTAAGCGTTGGCACAACGTGTGGTGAAAGTTAAAGCAACTGGTCTCCTCACGTACCGCTGCTGGGAATGGACAATGTACAAACAACAGTGGTTGAACACACACCTTACAAACCTACGATTCCGATTCCACTCTCAGATATTTTCTCAAATGGAAACATATATCCACACAAAACACATGTCTATGAATGTCGATGCAGTTTTAGTCTCAATAAACT